GGTGAAACCGCGTACGCAGCCAGCGACGGGTCTGCCGGCTGATTCCAGGCCAGGGTCCCTGGGAAGCTGCGGCCACTCCCGGGCGGTGCGGCCCTGGGAGGAGTGCTACAGCTGGGAGTTGCTTTTCAAACCCGTTTCCAAAGGCAAATGATTGTGTAAGGAAAAGCTGGCGGCAAAATAGCTGCCCTGCCCCATGCCGGCCCTGGCAGTCGGCTACCGGCCGGCTCCAAGCGCTGGGCCCCGCCCCCGGGCTGGCACGTTGCTCCCCAGGCAGACGGGTGCCGAGCACACACTGCGGGGGAGGGGCTAAGCAAGGGCTTCCCTCCCTCCCCCGCTTTTCACTGCCAGTAAGCCGGGGGGGTGGGGATTCCTCGCTGGGGGTCCGGCGAGAGCGGGTCCCGGGTCCCAGAGCATCACTTTCCCTTCCAGGCTGCCGGGGAGGGGAGGGGGTGCAGGGCTCCAGGCCTCGCCCATTGCTCATTGTCGTGGAAAAGGATACGTGCACAATTCGACTCTCCCCTCCCAGGGTCTGCGCAGCGCCGGGCCTGGCTCCGGGAAGCGTTCCCCGGCCGGCCGCGGGGACAGTCGAAAGTGCAAAGCACGGGGCTTCTGCGGAGGGCCGGGACAGATTCCGGCAGAGCCAGGGAAGTGGCTCAGGGTGGCAGGAATTGCGTCCAAACGGACGCCCTCCAAGCCAAGTGACAACGGCTAGTCCGGGCACCTGGAGCTTGCCAGTATTCGCCTCACTAAAAAATCAGAAATGAGGAACTTCAGCCTCCCCCCGCCAGGTGGGCCACGCCTGCCTCTGCACGGGGCGTGGGGCGCTCGCCCGGGCTGATCAGTCACGGCAGGGGACAGGCGCCCTCGGAAGCTGGCGAGTGGCGCGGTGGCTGTGCCACACGACCGCTGAGGGCTCTGCCGTGTCCGACCTGGGCGAGGGGTGCCCTCCCCGGTAACAGAGCCGACGGCAAGGGGGAGGCAGCAGGACTTCCCTGTGCTCTGATCTTTCGCCCAAGCACCATTCAGGCTGCACGGGGGGCTCAGAACCTGCAGGCTGCAAGGAGCAGCCCGGCGCTGTGGTCACTCCAGCGAGGAGCTGGCACTGCGGTCGCTGACATCCTGCCGCAGATGACCCTCCCTCGCCTGCTCTGTGGCACGTTTGCTCCCCACTTTGCAGGTACGGGATGGCGGAAAGTGACAAACTAGTTACACGTCGTATTTGCCAGGGACGGGAACGGCTGGGTTTAATACTTCTTGGCAGCTTCGCCGCCTCTCCCCAGCCCCCAACCGACAGGCCTGGAGGCAAGAGACTCCCGTGGGGCGTGAGTGAGGGGGCAGGCGAGCAGGGCCGGTACTGGCAGCCAGTGCTAGTGGTCTGGACCTGGAGCCGCCGAGGTCAGGGTAGACACGGCCCCACGGGATCCTGCAGCACAGGGTGAATCCCGCTTCCCCCGCGAAGGTGGCAGAACAAGCAGAACTCACCCTTGCAAGTACAGCGGCCACAGCATACAGGGTGGAACATCGCACCCGGGATCTGGGGGTGGGAACACCCGCGGCTCCGCTGCCTGGGGCCAAGCTGCGCTTACGGAGAGTCACTTGGGTTTTCATGGCTGACGGGTTCCTCGACAAGTACAGGCCCCAGCCTGGGAGGAGCGTGTTACAAACACCAGCGGAGCAGAGGACGCTTCAGAATCACTGGCCACATTTTCATGGAGGGGGGGGGAGGGATGCAGGGTTTGGCTACACAACAGTGCTGCTGTCACTTGGCTCTCCCTGCCCCCCGCTCATGCTGAATTCACCCACTGGTAATCCCCATTTAGAAAAAATAAAAACCAGCCCCACCCACCCAGACACAGAGCAGACTGAAATGCTTTGAAAAACTCAATGAATGAAAAGCGCACCCGACCCTCACCCAAATACTCTGAACGGTCAAACTCCGCCTTCCTCTCAGAGCCCGGGAATCAAATAGGCAAATGAAGTAAAAGTCTCCTTTCCTCCCCTCCGCCCTGCCCCTCGGAACCCAGGCTTGGTATGAAGCACGTGCCAGCCCCCCCGCTGGTGTGCAAATGGGATCCCTTCTCAATGGGGAAATCGCTCTGAACACTTCCAATGTGAGTTTTGAAATTCTATTGGAATCCGACCGTTAGCGTTTATCCCTCTGTGCAGTTGAATGGTTGGGACGTGGTTTAAATCGATACCGAGCGGTGCCCTGCCTGAGAGAGAGTGTGCACGGGAGAGCGAGGAAAGCTATAGGATGATACAGGGCTTTTTGTCCTTAAAAGGGTTCTCCGAGGCGGGCACTCCAACCAGCAGCGGGTCGCTCCTGGCATGCTGCTCACAGTAATTCATGAGTTCAGACGATGCTTTGGAGACCTACACGTTCAGAAAGAAAGGACAGATTGAGCGAGAACGCCGCGGACCTCCACATGGGACGCACCCAACCCGCATGGCATGCACCAGCAGCGTTCTCGGGGGGGGGGGGGGGTTCCAATGTTTTGCAAGGAAACGCTACACAACTGATCCCCGGACACAAGGGGAAACGAGGCTTGGAGGCAAATCAACTCAGCAGAAGGGAAAATCCCCTCTAGGTCTGGCTCCGTTCCCCCGCCCCGGAAGTAACGTCTGTCGTCTGAGGGGCTTAGGGATAATGCCTGAGTGGAAGTGGCCATTCCTTGATGCTAAAAATGGAGGTTTGGAAACTGCAGCACTCAACCCATTAGAAGCTGTTACTTGGGATTCTGCTTTTAGCTCAGAGATTTATTCTGAGAACTTGGGTCCCTGAGTAACCAGCCCAGTGCGGCGCAGACGGAAGGTCGGCTAACCGGGACCCCCAGCTAGTAATTAGAAGGCTGGGAGCCGGGGTAGGTTTCAGCAGCTTGGGAGACCGTACTTAACGCTGCATCCTTTGCTACTGACTTAATAACCGGGTGTGTACAAAGCAGCCGGAACCATCACCTCATCCAGCTCCCTTCTGGCCCCAGCTGCCAATTCTTCACACTGGGGATCGTTTGAGTCTAGGTCTCTATTTCAGCATCAGACCCAGCCTAGTCGGAGTCAGCAGCTGCATACAGACGGGCTACGTTTCATCCCTCCACACCCTGGGGTCCCACAGAAAGGCCCTTCCACTTCCTCTCTAGTGCTCCGGCCGCACCACGTATCACTGACCAAGCAAAGGGGCTCCCGCTATCGCCCCCGGAGAGGACTTCAGATCTGCCTGGTAGGAGTAATTCAGTAACTAAGGGGGGACGAAGGGGGCGCGCAGCCAGGACATCTCCTCGGACGGCCTGCAGCAGGAGAGTTTGCCTGGAAGAGTCAGCAGCTGGGAGAGGTCCGGTCTCTGACCCGACGAGCGCTGATTCAGAGTGCCAAGTGCCCGAGGGAGGCTCTGGGCTGGGACTCAGGAGCTCTGCCACAGACGGGGACTTGGAGCAGCTCGCTCTGGGCCTCGCCTCACCAGCTCTCCTTCCTGCCCCTCTCTCGAGGCAGAGACTTGCTCGCGATTCACCCAGCACCTTGCCAATGTGGCTGGTTTCTCTGGAAGCGGGTGCAGTGCTGCGGAAAGCCAGGGCTCGCAGCAGGGTCTAACACCGCCCGTCACTTCCCACCCCGACCAAATGCAGCGGGGACAGTGTAACTCCCTGGTCTGCACACGGTGGCAAGGCCAAACGTCCCGCTTACCCCAGCTCCCCTCGGGCACGGCCCCAAGGAGCAGGCGTGACTCCTAACCCCAGAGCAACGGGAGGGGAGAGGGATGACTGACAGTCTCCCAGGAGGTGGCTTAGATGCCTGGCCAGAGATCCTACCCCTGTAAGTGACGTACACACCAATGGCATGACCCGAAGGAGCGGGACGAGACCAGAGGGAGCAGATGATCTGTCTGGAGGCTGGACGGCACAGCGAGTTACTGGGCCTGCAGCCGATCAGGAGTTACTGGGCAGGCAGCTCCTTCCCCCAGCAAAGCTCTCCCCAAAGCACAAGGCAGAGGCCCAAGCACACGCCCTTCTTGCTCTTGGCCACGCACGGTTTCGGGCCTGAACGCCAGAGGCACTCGGTGATACTTGGAGACGCAGCCACGTCCATGCCAGGGAGACCCGGAATGGTTGCGTCTTCCCCAAACCGGGCTCTCAGACCAGCACGTCCCCTAAAAACCGCTACAAACCCTCAGGCTGGAGGTCAAACAGAAATGCCAAAGCAGCAGCCGCCGCCTCTCCTCCCCAGCAAAAGCTCGAGCTGATCAGCCTGTCCCTGCAGGGAGCGAGTGGCCAAGGAAACATTCTGCAACCAGGAAGCATTTAATGCCTCCTGGTTTAAGATTTAAAGCGCCTTTGCCCAATATTTTCGTTTTCACGGCATCTTTCATCTCCATCCAAAGGCTTTTGCTGCTCCGCTGGCTGGCAGGACGGGATTCTTCCATGAAAACTTCTCTGCAGCTCCCCATCTCCCCCTGTTCCCTGGGAGTTTCGCTTCGAGCCACCCAGCAGAAACCCTGCAGCTTGAACCTCTCTGGTCCGGCAACAGCCATCGGTCCGGCAGGGTCGTGGACGTTGCTAATCAGAGAGCCCCCGCTGCAGAGGCTGCCCGCAGCTGGTCTGGTGGGCCAGCAGCCTGCAGGGGCTGTGGACTGGGGGCAGGGAGCCCAGCCAGCAGCCCACTGGGCCAGCAGGCCAGGGGCAGTGCCCCACCAGGGCAGTCAGCGGCATGCTGTCTGGCGCTAGCAGTAAGGAGGGGAGCCCCAGGAGAGTCCAGAAACTGATCTCCCCTGGTCCGGCAAACTCCCTTGTTTGGGATTGCTCAGGACCTACGGGTGCCGGACCAGGGAGGTCCAACCTGGACAGTCTTCCTGCTCCTGCAAACCAGAGTCTACAAGGCGAGTTGTTTTCCAGGGGTACAGCAACACTGGTGGCCATCTGGACAACAAGTGCGATTCTTCTAGAGCACAAGCGCCAAGTGTTGTAGGAAGGACCCTGCATACCCTGTTCATTGGGAGGGAGCATTCGGGAGAGTCACAGGTGATGGCAGAGTCTCTAGGCAAGGAGAAGGAATAAGGAATAACTGCTGCCAGATAGGACAAGGTGCCAATGCTCACAGTAACCCCTGGATCCTTTGGCCTGGAAATCGCACGCTCAAGGGAGATACAGCAGCCTCCCGTTGTGGGTAAAAATCCTTGAGGGTCCATTGGCACATCCAGCAGGCCTCCTGGAAGTCAGAGCGAGGGCGCCGGGGGCCTATTCCCTGTGCCCAAAACGAAGGCTTCGAGACCCCCGTAGTAAAACGTCTCATAGCAGAGGGTAACTTGCAGGTGTGTACATGGAGATGCTGCATTTATTTTGTATTGCGAGATACAGCCAGGACAGCCAGCCAGCCGTGCCGCCGGAAGCCCTTTGGCAGAGGCTGTGAACTACGCTCCGGCAGGGCAGAGAGAGAGAAAGGTTGTGACGGGCTGCGTGGTGCTCACTTAGGAAGCAGAACTTCCCCCGGTGCTGCGAACCCCATGCCCATACAGATTCCGGCAGCATGGATCAAGGGCCGAGCCGAGGGACCTACCCCCAGCGTGACTAATGGGGACTGGATGGTTTCCCACAGAAGCACTCGCAGGCAGCTCACACAGAACAACACACTAGCTGCTCCCAAACGAGAGGAATCTCGCTGCAAGAGTCAATAGCAACACGGAGGGATGTTTCTGTAGCCCCTGCGGGCCCAGGCTAACGAGCTGTGTGCAGAGGCCCCTCTTCCCCGCCTCGTAAGCGCGGAGAGAGCGGGAGCAGCGTGCACACGTAACCGCTCTCCTCACCTTGATCCGCTCGATTCCAGCTTCGATGCGGAGCTGCTCCACCAGCTTCCGGGCCTGAGCTATGTTGTTAGTCGTTGACATTGTCTGCCATCAGCTCCAGCCCCCGCACTTGAGAAGGCTGTGACGAGAGAGAGAAAGGGGGGAGTTAAGACGTGGCGATGGCACCCAGCCTCCGGGTTTTACCACCTGGTCTTCACATAACCTCCCAAACACATAGGGCGGCATTGTTCAGCACTGCAAGGAGACCCCCACATAAGCATTCGGCAGGAGAGCCCATGTAACATGCTGTGGCTCCCTCCCGCTTTGGCAGATACAGTGCAAGTCAGGGAATTCCCGTGCTCCTGCGTATGTGACAGGCCTTTTCTGCAAAGGAGAAGCTAATTACAGAGGAAAGCGAAACCGACAGAAAATGCTGCCAAATGAAATAGACTCAACAATTCCCAGGAATATTTGTCAGTGAGCTCAGGCAAAACATTTCTTGTTAGCTGGGCCTTGTTGTTTCTTGGGGCTCCCGCCTCCTCGTTGGCTGCGTCTCGTTGTCTCATCATGTACTTGCACTGGAGGTTCTGAGGCAGGAACGGTTTCTCTGCTCGGTGTGCCTGGGACCTCCTGCAATGAAGCCCGGAGCCGTGGCCACGTGGCACCAGCACAACACACAATGACACGTCCCCCCCCCCGCCATTTGTAAAGGGACGTCTTTGAAAAGCAGAGCAAGAGACTCAAAGAGAAGGCTCTGCCTGGGTCTGAACGGGGATGGATCGCCAGGGAGCAGAGGGGACCCAAGGAAGCTCCTCCAGCTGACAGGAACCACAACGGATGCCGGAAAGGGGGGCTGGACCGACAAGGAGGCCAGGGCTAGACAAGGCGCAGGGAAGCACGCTGAGTCACTGAGCTGGTGCAAGGCCGTTCCGGGGATGTTTAGAGCCCGTGGCTCAGGTGAAGCCTTGCAAACAGTGTTGCAAAAGAGCAGGAGTGAACGGGAAAAGCAAGGCCACGCGCACAGTGCTCCGACCGGAACAGTGCCAAGAGCCCAGTCCCCGGCCGCAGCATGCAGGGATTTCACTGCCTGTTTTCGGACGTACCGTCCGGGGATGGAGGGACCGAGACCTGGATGCCAACGTGCCCAGGGGGCCGCCGACACCACCAGTAGCTCTGCGGAGCTGGGCAGTGCAGGCTTTCAACCATGCTATCACCGTGGCGTTTCAGAAGGGGATCGCCTGGCTCAGAAAAAACAAACATGGTTCCGAGGGGCTGCACAGCAAAGCGAAGGCAAAAATTTGACGCTGTCCAGGACTGCAGGTTAAACCTCTCCAGTCTGGCAACATCCGTGGTCCGGCACCAATTTAGTTAGCTGAATATCCACTTAGCACGGTGTGGCCGAGTTTCCCACGGTCCCAGAAAGTTTATTGACAACCCCCAGGCCTGGCTCTCGGGGTTCTGGGCTGTTCTTTGGCTCTAATTTACCCCTCCCCGCCTCCCCAGACCCTACGAAGCAGTGGCAATGCTGGTGATGCTGCTAGACAGCACTGACCTCCTGCGGGCTAGCAAATTGTCTGGTTCGGCGCTGCTCAGGCCCCAAGGGTGCCGGACTAGAGAGGTTCAGCCTGCGCTATATTCATCCTCGGAATGAACGTGCAGAGCAGAGGCAGCTGCATTCAGGGCAATCCAGGCAGAGAACGACCTACTTTCTGGTCGTGAAGGAAGGGTAACGAAAGCAATGTCCAGCACTGTCTACTTATTGGTGGGCTGATTCAAATCCAAATGACCCTCTGCTCCTGCCAGCACGCCTGGTGCTGAAGAGTGACTTGGCATTCTGCTGGCACCACATTCGTAGTGCCCCGGGGCAATTACAGAGGGGGCATCTGAAAAAAAGCCTTCTCAGCATCGGACAGTGACTCACCCATGCCCTGAAGGAAACTGTTGGGAACTGAGCCGGGAAGGAGGGATAGCGTCAATATCGCCTCCCCTCTGGCAGCTCCTAAGCTAATTGCCACCCCTTGGTAATTACAACTGAACTCCAAATCAGACCAGACCAGGCCCGAGAGGAGATCTGGATGTGCTCTTCCAGCCAGCCACCTACAGGACTCCTTGGGAGCGAGATTGAATCCACAAGTTTTCCAACTCAGACGGCTTCAAAGCAGACACTGAACTGCTCTTTTTAAGAGGGGAAAAACAGGCATCTGTCCTGCTTAAAAATATCTGTCTAAATATAGACCTTAAAAGGGTGTATTCGAGACCAGAATGGCACACACTGGGGCTGTTTTGCTTGGCAGAACTGTGCAATCCTCATTGAACTTTGAGATCCATGACAAATTCTACTCATGAATTTTGTTTTGTAACATCGAACGCTGAGGAAAAACAAATGGTGGTTCAGCCAACATTACTAATTCTATTATTAGACTGCTCCTAATGCAGCAGGGAGGAGTTTATTTGGAAGTTTCTTTTCCTACACACTGGAACATGTTATCAGTGCAACATCTCAACCCTTAACATGCTGCAACAGGCAAATCTGGAGTCAGAGCTTTTCCTTCCCTGTTAAAATGCCCCCCCCCCTTCCTGTAGCAGGAGGAGGAAAATCAGCTGATACAGAATTTCTGCGCTCTCAACAAAAGAAAAGTCTGCAACAAATGTAGGTTTTGTGCTAAACTGGTGGCATCTGAAGCTAATCAAATCCAAATACAGACAACCATGCAGGTCAGGGCATCATAGTATCTGGAATTTAAAAAAAAATCCTGATCAGCTATCTCAGCATGCTACTACCCTCAGGAGACTTGGATGTCACAATCTGAAAATCTTTGCTTCCCCCTGGTACCACCTGCTGCCTGGAAACTGCCTAAAGAGGGCCTGGGCACAGCCCTTGGGTGACTCAGCACTTTCCTAGACAAAGTCTGAGTAAGGCGACAGCAAGCGGAGGATGTGCCAAGATTTGATCCTTCCCATGAAAAAGCAACCACAGTTCCACCTTCCTCTCACGCAGAGGTCTGAAAATAGCTGCTGTAAAAAGAAGTGTTTCTAGATTGTACCAACACGAACTGGTAGCTGCTAAGGACACCTAGCCATCAATAAAGTCTGCTCTTGTAGTGCGAAGAGCTACACAAGAACCGTGAGTTTCCCTAACAAATACTGCTAAATTCAGACCAGGAATGTCAGTGACGTGTGATGCGACCAGGTGTCATCTATAGCCGTGGTGTCCAACATGCTAGCTGCATGTGGCTATTTGGCAAGTTGTACGTGGCTAGTTCACCAGACTACAATGGCTACTGCTTCAGAACTGGTTGGACACCACAGAACAACAGGAAGCAAACCTATCCAGCACTGAGCTCTTGTACTAAAGCCAGAGTTCGGTATTAATTAGTCATACTACTACAAAAAAACAAAAACAAAACACAGCAACAACAGCGCAAACAGTAGGCTAGTTTTCCCTTGCTCCTTGCTGGTTATACTGTAGTCAACAGTGTGTTTGGATCAGCAATGCCTCATTTACACGTCTAAAGACAGGAAGTTACCGACTGATTAAATATACATTCTATTAGACAACAGATCTGTCGTAAAAAAGGCAGTTATGCTGGAGTAACGTACTGCAGCATATGCAATGGCATTAGGACCAGGGAAGAGATCTGGCAAGACCTGTCTAGAAATAAAGATGCCAAATAGTCACGGTTAAAAATATTAATTGTGCATCTGCATAAGGACTTCATAGGGAGTTGGAGGGGGAAATAAAAGCCAGGAGATGCCATTGAGGTTTGCAACAGAACAAATCACCTGTTTGTGCTTTTACATCTTTCTGTTTATGGAATAACCCTGGGGAACCAGGCAAAGCCTGTTGTTAACATAGGGTGTGTCTAGACTACAGGGTTGTATCGACAAAAGTGGACTTTTGTCGACAAAACTATACCTGCATCTACACTGCCGCTGAGTTCTGTCAACATAACATCGACAGAACTCAGTTTTGTTGACAGCTGTAAACCTCATTCTACGAGGAATGACGCCTTTTGTCGACAGAGTTCTGTGGACAGAAGGCTTTATTGCATCTACACTGTCCTTTGCATCTACACTCTCATGTCGACAAAGCGGCTTGCTGTGTCGACAGAACTGGATGTCGTCTAGACGCTCTTTGTCGACAGAAGCTGTGTCCGTAGTATCTGTCGACAAATTTCTGTCGACAAAAGCCTGTAGTCTAGATGTACCCATAGCTTTTAGCTGCTCTGCTGGTAAATCAGACCCGTGAGGGGGTAGTGAACAGTGCTGGGAGCCTGTTTACACTGGCGATAGGCAGCAATGTCACTTGCTGTGCTTGGAGGTGGATGGTTTTTCTCACCCGAGCGAGGAAGTTACAATGCAGTAAAATGGCAACATAGACAAGCCCGAAGATGGAGTAACACCCTAAGCACTAAGCAGTACCTTGCACCGGGAAGTGCAAATTTGAACGAGTTTACATACAAGGTCAGCTTAGTTTCCAGCTGTGGGATGTAAATCTGAGACAGCAAAGGGCAGATCTTGTCTCCGGGCACCACAGACTTAACTGCCTCTTGTACCAGCTTTAGAGTCCTTAAGCCGACAGTCTAAACTTTTTGCAAAGGGGAAGCGTCTTTACTCCGCCCTCACCTTGGAGTCCATCGGCACGTACACGCTGCCCACTGAGAGCAATGGCTTGCAACACAAAATCACTTATAACCCATGGATCAGGTTTCAGAGTCACGTCAAGGAGTGCAGAAGAAATCCCTCTGAAGGTTAGTTTACGAAGAGCCAACAAAGAACGCCTTCTTTTAAAGGTAAAGCAGATTTCTATCGACGGAAGAAGATATTCTTTGATAAAAAAAACTTCCCCCGCGGAGAGGGACAGAAACTGGAGAGCAACATACTCCACATTCTATCCGCTTCAAAGCTGAGGACCACTAAGAGCCATGGCCGGTATGGTTATCAGATTTACTGCAATGAGAAGATGAGGCAGAACAAGAGGCCCGTGCTAGTTTCCAATCTAAGCTTTCGATGGGACACGAAGTGGGGAGGCAGGATGCCATCAGAAGGATGGTCTGCTTAGATAAGCACATGAAGTAACGGCACACACACATGCTGGTGCAAGGTAATGGTTTGAAAAAGCACAGCCGAAAGCATCCC